CTATGTCTCTAAGAGAATTCATCTGGATGCTTAGTAGGGTTAAGGTAGGCATCCATGGTTAAAATCATGCTGCAGACACATAGAGGCAATTGTGCAGCAGTTTACCCTGTCTATCAGGTTGTCCTTCACACGACTAGTTCCATGCCTGGTTTTGCAAACAGCACATGACCAGGCATGCAAAAGACAGACTGCCAGAGGGGAAACTGCATGATTTCTCACTGCTCTGTGTTTCTCCAACAGCATTCTGGCCAGAATTTCTAAGAGTGATGTGGAGTACCTTTTATCAGCTTTGTCTGATCTGCCCAGTGGCAACCCTACCTAGAAAAAGCGAGCCTTGTTTCAGTTACATATATCCTGATGGCATTCAGTCGGGACTACTGTCATACAGCCTGTACAGCATTACCTTCAAAGATGGTTCAGCTGCACCATCTATTACCCTGGCTGCCCAGTTTATTTCTGGACCCTGTTTCAACTGATGGTGATGACTTTTAAAGCTGTTAACATTTGGGGACAAAGTTATTGGGAAGATCTGCCTGTGTCTATATGAACTTGCCCAGGGATTGTGGTTGCGGGTCCATCATTGATAACCTATCAGGTTGGTAGGTATTAGAAACTGGTGTGTCATTAGTGATGATGCTGTATCTTTCGTGGGATGTACTTAGTTAGTTAGGCATCCTTCAGTCTCGAAAGACTATGGTAACGTGCTCTGTATGGGGGACTTGGTGCAGCGTCTAGTGTGGCTGAGGAGGCCAATTCGAGAGTGACAATCCCTTCCACACTGAAGACAAGTCCAATCTGTCCCCTGTCCAGCTCCCTGGTTTTGCTGCTTTTGTGACTTCCTCTTTGCCTCAGCCTGCTGGGCAAGGGTCTCTTCAAATTGGGAGAGGCCGTGATGCAGTGCCTGCCTCCAGGCTGAACGCTCAGATGCCAAGGTTTCCCATCTGTTGAGGTCTATTCTTAAGGCCTTCAGATCTTGCTTGCAGATGTCCTTGTAACGCAGTTGTGGTCTCCCTCTGGGGGGCTTTCCCTGCACTAATTCTCCATACAGGAGATCCTTTGGAATCCAACCATAAGGCCACAGTTATATAGATGTTAAGACTTTTTATTTCAAGCTGCTTTTAGTACAGTATTTGTGTGGTACCTATGAGATACTGTATCTGATCTGGTTACAGTGGCACTTGGTAACATCCTGCTTGGGTTACTGTAACACACTTGAGAATGTGCTGCCTTTGAAGAGTATTCAGAAATTCTGGCTGGTCCCAAATGCTGCAGTAAGACTGAAGAGTAGGGGAGGGTTTAGGTAGCATATAATTCGCCTGTGACAACATTGGCTTCAGCTCCCAGGCTATTTCCAGGGCCCAGTGCAAATGCAGGTCATGACTAGTAAGAGCTCTAAACAATTTGGGCCCAGGCTATATAAAAAGAGTTTATCATGAGAGCCTCTGCAGGTTTAAGATTTGCTTAGGAGGCCCACCTCCCCAGATATATCGGAAAAATCTACAAGGGAGCCTGAAGGGCCCTTTTCTGTGGCTGCTATTTGCCGGCCAGGTGTGAAATGCCCTTCCATGGGAATATATATTGACCACCTTCCTGCCTCTTTCTGCTATTTCTTTTCAGGCTAACTTTTGGCAAGTTACGGTAATTAATTAGTTGCAGGAAAAAAATAGCTTTTAATAGATGTTGCACATACACCCTCAAAAACTGTTTCAGTTATTTAAAAGTAGTCTTTTATTGCTATTTATTAAATTGTATTTTAATATTGCATGCATTTTTTTTAAAAAAATCATTCTTAAAAACATCCAAGATTATTTTATACTGTATCATGACTGTAACAGAAAACATCCTGAATGCAATAGAATATCCTGAATGTTCTTATCCTCCAATCACTTACCAGGAGAATGTCATCTTGTAATTGGTGCCAGAAACAATTATCTGTTCACACAAACATATTTTGTCTGTTGTTCATATCTTGATTCGGATCCATACAATATACATATATTCCAGTAGATCTTCAAGCTTTTTTTTTTTGGAGCTCAGCAACTTTTTTGCACTGTATATGAACAAATCCTACCTGCGCTTTCATACAACCGATACAAGATACTGGATGTGAATGGAAAAGTTGAATACTGTGTATGGGCAAGAATGCCTTTTATCAATAGTTGCAGTCCAGTGTCCCAGCTACAGTATTGTCCTATATGCGACCGTTCACTGATATGGGTGAGTGTAAAGGAGGTGTACTTAGGGATATTACTGGGTTGGGGGCTAAAGTTATTTGCTGCCCTCTGGTCGTTCCAGCAGTTTAACACTGAACCTGCACAAATTCCTTCTGTTTCTTTTTTACATGCCAGCAGTTGATATAATGATGGACTTTTATATTCATATCAGTACGTATATAATTTTAGACTCTGGCTCACTTTAGACATCCACAAGTATCACTTCATTTCTGAACGATATAATTAGTGTTTACTTTCTCTTTCCCTGCCCCCATCCAAACTGCCATTTCATCTTTTAAACTGCTTCCACATTCATGACGTGTCAGAAATGTATGTATGACTGCGTCTTTCTGTGTGTACGTATATGTGTTTGTTTAGGAGACCCTAGAAACATTAGCAGTTTGTTTGCTTTTTCATTTCAAACGTATTTAAATAAAAGCATTGCTATTATTACAGGAATAAAACAGAGTTTGATTCTGTTGCCCTGAAGCAAAGCACAGTTCTGCTTGGAAAGAAGCATTATTTTATTGCTGAAAAGGATAATATGTTTATAAAGTAAAAATGATAAAAAATAAACATTTGTAACTACGAGCATTTCAAGCCTTTAAAGAAGAAGAACAAAGGGTGCTGTGATATCTAGTAAGCAGCCATGGTTAACTCCAGTATACCCATAATGGCTCAGGTATTAATAGGGATCCGATGTGCCACTTTTCCCATCACCTGGTGCTCTTCAGGTAGGTGTATGAAGGTGAGGCAAGATTGTGGGAATATGGGCCCTGACTCTGGGACGCAGGCAGAACTGCAGCACTCTATAGCTGTGCAAAAGCTTCCTGAACATAAGTCTTGTGGTTTATATTTAACAATAAAGACTTACATCTCTTTCTCTTGCACATTGAAGAACATAGGTGCCTCTGCACCTTCAGTTCATCTTAATTTAAATGAACTTGGGTTTTCTTCACAAAAGATGAACTTTCCTGCACAGGTGGCATTTCCGCATGGGAATAAATTAGAGGGAGCCTACATACAGAGAGGGTCACCTTTGATGATAGCACTCACATAGTGAAAAAAGCAGGAATGGTTAGGGCCTCCTAGTAACATACCCATTATGTACGTACAGTACAAGACATGCATGTGAAATAGTCTACAGTATTTTTTCTTGGTCCAGAGCTGTCCTGAATATAAACTACTGAAATATACCTGTCAGTCTCTTTACAGAATTGATACCTTAATGTGAACTTGTATTGTTCATTATTCTTTTGTATAACAGCAAATAGGAGGGTTTTATAGTTAGTAAGAATAAATATAAAGTATCAAAATAAAGAATTGTAGAAAGAAAAAAACGGGAATAAAAAGGTGGAACACACAGCTGAATACATTAAAAAATACTTCTTTTTTTACATCTGAGTCATAATTCATGTTACGTCTCCTACGAAGTTCAAAGTTTTTTCCTTTTTCTCGCACAAAGCAAGATCCCTGTGTAACAACTGTGCCTCAAATCATTTCACTTCAATTGTACTAACAGGTTTTTAGAGTTTAAATCGCGAACAACCTCAGAGTGAACCTTTATCCAAATGACTGCAAGTTTCACACAAAAAGAGCACTTCTCGTTCACGGAGTACCTTTTGTGCTTCAGTGAGCCCCAGTCCCTTTTCCTTTCTCCCTCCCCCTCCCCTCCTTCTCTTCATGTTTGTCTTTGAAGAAAGATGTATGCTTTTGTGCAGTAATGAAAGCAGGTATCAGTTAATGACACAACTGCAATCCGAGCTTCATAATGTACCCTGGAAATGCTTCGAGATAAAGCTTCCCCATACCTGCATTTATGCAGGAGTAAAGTACCAATTCAGAAGTCAGGGTGACTGTCAGCCCTGTAGAGGCATCATATGACATTAAAAACCCAACTATTAGGGGTGACCTCATCTTTCTCTCCCCCTTCTACTACTTACATCAAGAAGTTCAAATTGTACTGCTGATTCCCCCCGCGGGTTTTTCACTAAGAGTTCCTTCTTTTGATGCCACACTTTTATTTTTTTCCCCTTTTAAATCACACTCAAGTTTAACCACTAGAAAAGAGTACCGCTACCAACAAAAGAGATTTCCCTAAAATGTCATCATTAATTTTTTGGGAGGGGGGTTGGAATCCTCAGCTCTGGAAAAAAATAATAATAACGAATTGATATATTTTTTAAACATTATATAGGTTAATTGATCTATATTGCGTTAACTTTCCAATCAACGTGGATCGTGGAGAGAACGGCAAACTTCCTTACTCCTCTTTTTTTTAATTTTTTGGCGGCGAGAGGAAAATGGGTCTGCCATCTCTCGCGGCCGCCCCACTGCCTTTTTTTCGCCTCCGAACCTCGCAAAGAGGAGCGCCAGCAATTCGGTGTGTAAAATACTGTACAGCCTAGGAGCCTGGGGGCACCTTCCTCTTTGCTCTGCCTTGTGTGAGTGTGCGTGTGTGTGTCTCTCGTCTCCTCTCTCTCTCTCCCCTTTTCTCCCTCCCTCTCCCTCCCTCCCTCTCCCGCCTGTGTGTGAGCTGTGAGCACTACTGCCGCCGCCGCCGCTGCCCTTTGATCCCTGCATTAGTGTTAGTTAGGGGCTTGGAGACACGCAGGGAGCAGCCATAGACACCGCCGCACCACAGCCCACATTATTGACACCGCATATGAGCACACACTCTCTCCCTCGCCCATTAGATCCATTTCCATTGAAGAATATTGCGACCGGGGACAAGCCTCAGACCGCCTTCCCCCACTTTCTTTCTCCTCCTGCTGCTCTGGAAGAACGAGAGCAAGAAAAGGTGGGAAGGAAGGGCACGGAAAAAAGGGAGAGGGGGGGGATCCCTTCTTCTCCTTTGCTCCAGGAGAAGCGGTTTCTTAACCCCCCCCCCCAATAGCCCAGGAGAAGAAAACCAGCCTCTGCTGGGCAGCCACCCCTTGGCCCCCTCGTTGTGCCTGTCTCTGCCCCTCTTCGGGCTTTGGTGTGGTGGCGGGTTTTTTTTTCGTTTCTTTTTAATTTGATCTCTCGTAAAACCGAGAAGGAGAATGTGAAAAGGGGGGAAAATGCCCAGGAGGAAGCAGGAGCAACCCAAGCGCCTCTCTTCACGTAAGTGCTCCTTTTTATCCCCCCATCCCCTATTTTCTCCCCCCTTCTCTCTCTCTCTGTCCCCGTCTCTCTCTCTCTCTCTTTTCCTCAGTCTCCCCCCCCCTCCGCCCAACACCCGGTCTCTGCCTGCTTCCTTCCCCTTCGTAGCCTCCTCCGTTGTTTTGTGCATTAGTTTAGGGTTACAGAGGTGAAACTGACAAAGACATAGCCTGGGTTATTCCTCTTTTAGGTCTGAGCTGAGGCAGCCATGTTGGTGATGAACAGCCTTGTGCCCTTTTAATTTTTTTCCCTCCTCTCTTCCTCTCTGTGTGTGTGTATGTGTGTGTCTGAGGGGGAGAAAGAGAGTGTGTATGTGTGTGCCCCTCTCTCTCCCTCTCCCTCTCCTTCCCCTCGCTTTTCTTCGCTTTCCTCGCCCTCTCTTTCCCCTCCCCTTTCTTGTGATTGTGCATTTGTGTATGTGTGTCTGCGTGTGAATGGATTTCTCTTTTACGGGGGGGGGGAAGAGAAGAAAGAAGAGGCTCTCTCTTCTTCCACCCCCCCTTTCTTTTAATTGGGGTGGGGAGGAGTTGCAGTTGGAAGGGAAAGCCGTGTGTGCTGGCGTCTTGCGCGGAATCCATCGTGAGGTCCGTCTCCGGCTAAAGGTTGCGGCTGGGCAACCCTGGAAGGACTCCCGAGTGCATCTCAGACCGCCTCCCCCTTCCCCCTCTTTCTTTCTCCTCCTCCTCCTCCTCCTGTGTTCTGACTGCAGCCGACCACAAGTTGGAAAGTAAAAGAAGGCAAGTCTCTCAGACTAACGCCTGGAGGCAATGTGCACACCACACACGGACACGGCCGCCGGCCCACCCCCACCCCCTCAATTTCCCACCTCCGTCCAAGTCCTTTGCAGAGCAGTTAACTTTTTCGCTCAGCTGTCCACGCGCGCACCGCCCCCCCATGAAGCTGCAGCCCCACGGACGCTCTTCTTGCCGAGAAGGGGCAATAAAAGTGGGGA